ACTGGGCCGCCTGCAGCGGAGCGCGCGAACTTAACCACTCGGCCACGGGGCCAGCCCCATATAAACCTTATTTTTAAAACAAAATTTTGATCTTACATTTTTCTCGGGATTGTCTTATACTTACATTCTTCCATTTTCCACATTCATATTAAGTCTTAGAGTCCATCACTGTATGTAGTACTTTCATAGAGTTTTAGCCCAAGATGAAGAACTTCAGAATTATTCTTATACTGGCTTCCTAGAATTATTTTATGAACCAACTGGAAAATACTCCAGTGAGCTTCTCTTATATCACTAAGGTCATTGTCATTGTCCTGATTATTGATGTAAGAAATTACAAAGTTGATGATTTTCTAAGATTAAAATGTGTGTATGTATGTGTATCTGTGCGTTTAGTTTTATGTCTCTAAGCTAGTTTAAAGCATTTCATGCCAAAATTTATTTGCTTTTAAAGTTGATTTGTAGATTAATGTTTAATTTTTTACAAGAGTTACTTTGAGTATTGTTAACGAATATCTATTTAAGAAATAATACTCTAGTCATTACCAAATAAGGTCTCAATTTTGTATTTTGTCTTTTATATATACTTTCTAATGGCAATTAATGTCAATAAAAGTGGTAGAATATCCAGGTCAGCTTTTGGTGAGATACATTACCTCAAAATTTGTCTTTTGATTCTCGTGTTGTAGATATAAGTGTAAGTCCTATGAGATGTTAATGTGTTACATGAAAAAGAATTCTGGGGTCAAATAATTTTGCTGCATGCTGGTTTATGTAGGGTTAAATGGGTTTAACTGCAGGACTTCTCAGAACTTTTAGTATAGTGATGTACATTACAAATATTTCAGAATGGAACATAACATAGTGTTTGCAGAACTTATTTAAACGTGGAACACTCATTTCTAGGACTGTTGTTCCACAGAACATACTTTGGGAAATCCTGGTATTTGATGCAGTCAGAATTTGTGTGAATTGTTGTAAAGGCAGTGTATCTAACCTTTATTTATGAGTACTATCCAGTTTATTTGAAAAGCATTAACTTTAACACTCGGAGCAATCAGTTTCAAATGCTTTACAGGTCCTTTTAAGACGTAAGAGCTTTAAGATTTCAGTATAGCGTCTCTATTGCTTCTTCTACAGCTTTTCTCCAAAATGAATTTATCCACATGCTTAGTGTTGAAATGTGTCTTAAACAGACTAGTGATAAGATCTCTTGATGATCCCCAAAACTTTTCACTCCAGCCTGGTTTTCTCTGCTGAGCACCGAGACTAATATTTTTCAGTTCTTCTCCTGACAGTTTTACATGCAAACCCTTGTAGGCGTCTGAACTCGGTCAAAACTGAACTCAGCTTCTCCCTGTTCATCCCCTAATCCCAGACTTGACTTCTGTTTCCTGTCCTGGCTAATGGCTCTGTCTTCTTTTCAGTCACACAAACCAGAAACCCAGGAGACTCAGATTCCTCCTCCATCTCCTATGTCAGGGTTTGTCAGCCTTGGCACTATTGACGTTATTGGCTGGATAATTCTTTGTTGTAGGGGACTGTCCTGTGCATTGTACATGTTTAGCGACATCCCTGGCTTCTACCCACTGGATGCTGATAGCACTCTCCCTCAGTTGTGACACCAAAAATGTCTCCAGACAGTGTGAAATGTCCCCTGGGGGACAAATCTCCCTTGTTTGAGAACCACTGCTCTACATCCAATCTGTTACTTAATCTTATTGATTCTATTTCTAAATTTACCTTTAATTGCTATTCATGTCTTTATCCCACTCCCTAACCTCCTATCCTCTTGATTTTTTAGTACTTGAGATTCTTTCATAAGGTTCTGACTAGCCTCCTTATGTCCAATGTTGTTTTCCCTCCGACTCACCCCCTTTGGTGCTGCTAAATTTCTCATTCTAAAGTGCAACGCTGTTCCCTATTTACATTTCTCGGTAGCTTCCATAAGGGACCTTCATGAACTGGCTTCTCTCTTTATCTCTGGCTTCATTTTCAAAGGCACTCATGTTCGCTGCACAAGCCAGTATACTCTGCCCTTTTCCCACTGTGCATACTTTGTTTCAGACTCTCCATAGGCATCAATTTCTCCCTGGTAGCCCTCGTCACTTATTTTAGAGACTCTATCATGGTAAAAAGCATTTTATTTTTTAAAATTTCTGTCTTCCTTCACCAAATTGAGCTTTTCAAGGGCAGGGACCATTTCTCTCTCTGTTTATGGCATGTAGTAGATGTTCGATAAAAGTTTGAATCATTTATTTGTGTGCCCTGATAGATGTAGTAACATCCTCATTACTTCTAGGAATTCTCTTCCCTGTATCAGCAGTGAATTTGTCTCCTGCTCTTTATCATCCAGACTGTGATGGGTAGCTTTTGACCACAGAAATCTTGAACTATAACTTTCTTTAAGAAATCAGCTGTGAGCTATTCAAAGGAGAATCAAAGAAAGCAGTGTATTTGGTTGATATCAAATATTATTTGCTTGTAAAATAGCTAGTTTACCCTAAATATTTTTATTTAGAAGGGAATTAAATTGTGTGGGTTAATTGTGCAGATTAATTAAATTGTGTGAATTAATATGATGTGGAAAGTATTTACTGGAAGCAAAATATTGCATTTCCATTGCATAAAGATTTGATGATTGGTCATATAAGGCTTGCAAAAGCAATATCATTGTCTTAACTATGTTAGTTTTTTTGAGAATGCATTTATTAGAACACATTCCTATAATTACCAACCTACACTATGTAGAAATGTACCCTTTGAAATGAAGAAACATTATCAAGTCAGTGAAGACCAGAGTGTCCCACTTCCCTTCCTTACATGCCTTAATAAATAGGATTTTGTGTGAATGGATTTCCCTGTGAATTAGAACTAGTCACAGTCAGTCTGACCAAGTACACTTATATCTAGAACCGTAATTAAAAGATGAAAAAAGAAAAGTAGAGGTTACAGGGCTTTTGGATAACTCAAATGTAACACCTGAAAATCAACTATTGAGGATGGGGAAAGAGGGAATGATGGTAAGACCTACTGCTGATTCAGAAGAGTTCTCCATCCTGGTACGATGCCTTGCCACATCGTTAATAATTATTTATGGAATGAATCCATATATAATGGCAGTTAAGCCAGAAGTGATGATGTTCTGCCTCACCTTTTGGGGAGTGGCATTAAAATGTATCATTTCCTTTCAGAAGAGATTCTTTAATAAGAAAAACTGTTATGGAGGTTCCAGAAATAAAACTCGGAAGAGCCAGATTACCTACAGAGAAGGTCCCTCTGTTTCACACCAGCTCTCGAAGGGCTGAAGTAGATCGTGGAAGACACATGTGACACCCAGCCCATTATTATTAACCCGAAGAGCCATTTTGCCAAAGACCAAGATTGGCCTTGCCTGTTTTCTCTTTTCTCTCTTTTCCATTCTGTCGTTTCCTTTCTTTAAATTTAAAATTTTTTTAAAAAGTAACTTCTTTAAAATTAAAAAATTTAGGGGCTTGCCCCAGGGGCACAGTGGTTAAGTTCATACATTCTGCTTCAGAGGCCCGGGGTTTGCTGGTTCCAATCCTGGGTGCGGACCTATGCACTGCTTGTCAAGTCATGCTGTGGCAGGCATCCTACATAAAAGTGGAGGAAGATGGGCACGGATGTTAGCTCAGGGCCAGTCTTCCTCAGCAAAAAGAGGAGGATTGGCAGCAGATGTTAGCTCAGGGCTAATCTCCCTCAAAATTAAATAGATAAATTTTTTTAAAAAATTAAAGTTTATTTAATTTTAACGCTTCATAATACCGGTCAAAATTATTTTTAAGGTCATAAGCTGCTTTAGGAAAGAAAGGTGCTTCTATTACATACACATTGTCTCATGCCTGTTTTTTTCAGACTGAAAAAAAAATCTGTAATGATATTTTGAATATATGTTTTTGAATAGTTTTGGTTCTTGAAATTGTAATTTTTATAAGCTCTGTTGTGTATCTTTAAGGCCCTACTTGATCTAAGTAAAAGATACTGTGGTGATGAGCTACTTTGTTTTCCATATACTTTTCAATATAGTAAAGATTATATTGAAGGCAAACTTTCCCAGTAAATTATTTACCTGTTACCAGAATAACGTAGTTTTAAGTGGGTGAAAACTTTTAACCTAGGGAGGGTCAAATATAAGATACTTGTATTTTAACGGAGTATAGTCGATTCTCATTATTCACAGTAGTTATGTTCTATGAAGGCTCCACGAACACTAAATTAGTGAATATGGAACCATTGCTCTCAGAGGGGAAATACAGGGTTAGGTTCCTGTGAGCCTCTGGTGACAACTTTTTCATCAACTGATCAATACATAACCTTGTTTTATGTGTGTTTCTGTTTAAAGACACCTTACTTAATATATATTGTTGATTCATTACCATTGAACTCCCAGCCAGCAGCACTGTACCTCGTGCCTGAACAAAGCTTATATAACGTATATTTCCTCCATAAGGCACATCACAGCCTTCCTGGGTTTGGGAACAGACAGCACTTGCAGCACTATGCTTGGGGGCCATTTTAAACAGTGAAAGCACTGACAGAAAGCACAAAAATGTGAAATATGTGGTGCTAAATAGATTGCAAAAAGGACACTTGTTTATAGTATGAGAGCTGAAACAAGAAGACAGATTGTTGCCTTGTTCCACCTCAGATGGAAACATTCATGTCAGGTGACTCGCTTTTTTCCACTGCAAAAGACCGAGAAAGTACCTCAAGTATTAGTTTGGGGATTACAAATACATTTTATTGAGTAGGCAAATTCACAAATACAGACTCTGAATAATGAGGATTGACTGTAATTGTTTTAAAGAAGCTTCTGATTGGATGCTTAGAATATTCCAATTTAAAAGAAAGTTTCTCTGATTTTCAGGGATATGGGAGTTGTTAGTTAAGTGGAAGCATCCTCACAGTTTTCTTGTTCTGTTGTCTGGTGGAATAAAATTGGCTGCTTTCAGTCAGTCATTTTATTTTCTCCCCTTCAGGGAACAGCCCATCTTCAGCACTCGAGCTCATGTCTTCCAGATCGACCCCAACACAAAGAAGAACTGGGTGCCCACCAGCAAGCATGCAGTTACTGTGTCTTATTTCTATGACAGCACAAGAAATGTGTACAGGATAATCAGTTTAGATGGCTCAAAGGTAGGTTACATTCACTTCAAATAATCTTGTTGTTTTGCTTTAAACAGTATAGCATTTCAGTTTTATTCAGCAGATTTTTATCTTCATTAAAATATTTGTTTGAGTTTTTAAAATTTAACTTTTAAAAAACAAAACTGATCATTCTTAGGATAGCAGCATTTTTTGTTCACTAAATTACTTGGATTAACCACTTTATTTATATGGAGTTACGTACCAAAATATGCTGCAAATTTAAGGTCAGTTTATTTAATAAATATTCATTGCATATATGTTATATGTCAGGCGCTACGCCAGGTGCTAGGAATACAGTGGTAAACAGAACGGACACCGTTTCTGCTCTTTTGGAGCATACGGCCTAGTGAGGGACTAGAATTCTTTTCAGATCACTTGTATAGACTAGTAGGGAGTTCAAAATCCCTAAATCGTTTGAAGTCTGCCAAGTCAGTATTAATCTGACATTCCTTATTCTGAAGAAAAGCATATGGATAAGACCTAAGTTTTTATTTCTTAGGAGAGGTAGATAGTGTCAAGTTTAAGAGCATGAAGTGCCTGGGTTCACATCTCGGCTCTACCATCTACTAAGTTTTGGACTTTGGCAAATTACTTCTCTGAACCTCATTATTCTCACCTGAGGACTGGTAGTTGTAAGAATTAAAGGAGTTAATATCTGCACAGCATCTAGATCAGTACCTGATGGATAGTATAGCCTTCAAAGAGGGGAAATGCCATTTTTTTAATCACTGAATTTTGAATAACACACCTGGATAAAGAAATACCAAACATTGGCTTGTGGATATGAAGTGTGTAGAAAGATGAAGGCTCCACTCTTCTCCTTCAAGCTTTCTCTTCTCCTTCAAGCTTTCTTGATGCCGTGAGGCCTTTCCGCTCCCAGAAATTGAGCAGTTCAGTGTAGGGGTTCAAGCACAGACGCTAGAGCTGGACCGTGAGGCTTGATTTTTGCCCTGCTCCTTCCAGCCATGTGACCTAGAGCAAGATATTTAATGTCCTCGTGCCTCAGTTTTCTCATCTGTAAAAAGGAACTAATAAAAATACCTACTACGTCATTACAACATGGAATCGATTTGAAGATTAATTAATTTAGACAAAAGCACTTGATAGTAATCACCATACAAACACTTACTGCTATTGTTATTATTATTAGGCTATTAATTATGTAGTGTCTAGTGGTTTTGGGAGAATAAAAGGTAATTTAATTTAATGCTCAGCCTTCAGTCTGTTCTGTCTGTATGCTAATTCCTTACCTCCTTAACTGGATGATAGCACCCAGGGGCTGTGTGCACTTTGACTTTCACGTAAGTGACTAATGTGTTCATTTGAATAAATGAGCCTCTTTTCATTTTCACTTGGAGGATTTAAAGGACTTGGGAAATAGTAGTAGTTAATTTCTATGAATTTATTTAATGAAGAATAATTTTTGTCATATTTTGTATCTTTAGTGAAATTAGCAGATATTAATTATTATAATCTCAGACTCTAGTTGGTTTATTTCTTTCCCCTGACTCGAACCTTCATTTCTCTATAATCTGTACTTCTCTCTTGGCCCAAACCACAGATGAGATGTAATTTTATTAGACAGGAGAATTAAATGGTGTATAAAAGTGAAGTTCAGCTGAAGAAGTCCCATGTCCCGTGTGATTATGTAATCCTCGTGTGTTCTTCCTTCTGAAGCAATATGAATTATTGCTTCTGGCATTTCCATTTTTGAGCATACTTTGCAGCTTGTAATTATTAGGCTTTCTTAAATAACTCTTGTGAAAAAATTTTTGTTTGTTTCTTTTAACAAAGTCTACCCTCTGTAACAGAGTTATATTTTCTATTACATTTTCCATTTGCTAGTTACTTTTCTAAACTGATGCTGTTAACTACTGCAGCTCCCTGCAGGAGTAGTTGGTTTTTGGTAAGGAGTAGTGGATTATTTGATGTGGCTAAATCTGTGTTTTTCTCCTCCCCACCCCCCTTCTGTTTCTGCACTATATGATGAGCTGGAAAGGCCTTGGGTGCCCCTGACCAGAAAATGTCCATTTGTTCTCACTTATTGCCTTTACTGTGTGCATAAAGTTTGCTTGAAGGTTTTCTAGTCCTGCTGCGGCGATATCAGCATGGCTAGGTGCCAGGATCAGGGCGCTGTATATATGATCTGTAATGACACAGCATTTCTACCTCTTTTCCTTGAAAGGACAAGAATCCCAGGATTGGGAGACATATTTGTTCTAAAGAGCTAAAATTTTTCTTTTAAATAAATTCATAATAGCATTCTATTCAAAAAATTCTAATAAGTAATTTTTTTTAAGTGTAGGATCAACTGTCATTTTAAAGTTTTTCTTCAGTGATTAAAGAATCTCAAAGCAGATAATACAGAGGCAAAGAAGATTCAGAATGGGGATTAAAATGGAACTCTTAAACTTAAAGCAGAAGTTAATTTGAAATAACTAAAATGGAAGGTCAGTGAGCAACAGCACCTGGGTCAGTTTTTTTAGATGCCTGTAACCCATTGCTGCTTCACTTTTTGAGAGTAATTAGGATCACATGTAAAATGCCCTGCTCTCCTTGAAAACACTCAGATTCTAGCTCAGATGTACCCTCCTCAGGGACAGTCAAGGACGACCTGATCTAAAGGAGTGCCTGCTGGTCCTCGCCTTCTAGCCTTTCAGGCTCCGTCACATCCTGGCCTCGTGGTTTTCACAGCACTTACATTGGTCAGCTGTTTATTTATTTGTTCATTGGCTGACTCTTTTTGCTCTAAAATGTAATCCACAATTACATTGCCTCTTATTGTTGTATCTCAAGTTTCTAGAATTGTGTTTGGCATTTAATAGGTACTCAATAGAAAAAGTTGAATAAGTAAATGATTCTTTACTATTTCTTAATATATTATTTTCCATTTAGTCTTTCATTTGATGACAACCCTGCAGGTTAGAGCAGTTAGTTGTTAGCCTCATTTTACAGGATCTAAAATGACGTACTGGGAAAAGCAGCTTTTAAACTGAAGGGTAAGGAGATATATGAGTATGTAAATTTTGTCAGAGGTAAAAATGCTTAGTAGAGGATAAGAGCTCTCATATCACAACAGATAACACATCTGCTGTCTGTGTCACGAGTAAGCAAGCAACCACTCTCTCTTTTACTGTTTTCTTTAGTAGGACCAATGTCATTCGTTCATTATTATAATTTCATCACCACCTGGTTAGCTCATAAGTATTTACATTTAGACTGTTCACGTGGTAATCAGATTTACCTTTGTTCTCAAAATGCTTAATTTTCATGCTATATTTAATAGTTCACCAGATAGCTGCTTATGGATTTGATAACATTTATTTTTATTATTGTTGTAATCACTTTGTAATCTCAGTTTTGGAGTGCGTTAGATTACTTAACTAAAACTGACTCTACACTTTTACAGTACCAGCAGAGAGAATGAACTTAATATGTTAGAATAATTGAAATTTATCCTATTGATCACCAAAATTAATATTTAATAACATACTAAAATGCTAGTTTTCTAAGAAACTGTTAAATAGAAATGATATTGAGTCTCAATATCATGAATTTACGTACTTTATGAGAAAAGAATTAAAGAATATATTTAGGAGTTTGATTTCCCTTTGAGTAAAGGAAAAGTACTAAATGATTGAAAGTGTTTTCTGTATCATAATATATTTCAGGTAAGTCAGCTTTAAGAAAATTCTTGATTATGGATTTTGGAAAATTAGTGTACAAATAGAAAATCTGTTCTATTGATATTCATTTTTGAAAGATTCTTTGGAGGGTGAGACCTTACTTTTAAATAAACAACTATTAAAACGTACGTACTTCCAGTGAGTATCATCCAAAATTCATAAATATTGATCCTAAATGTTCAAAGGGAAGAAACTGACCGTGCTTAAAAACCTCTTGAAATTTTTTTGCATCATAAAAAAACTTACGTTGATTGTAAGGTGTTGAAATTTTTGATAGAGTGCCATAATATTTATAGTTCTATTAGTTACCATATTTCCACACTGTCACCTATAATGTTAAAAACTATTTCTGTAATTATCTTTATATATTTAACATTGTGACTCATTAGGAATCCTAAGTTTTTATGTAACTAAGTAGTCCTGTGTTTAAATGCCTGTTTGCTGATTTTTGGCTTGTTATTTGTACTTGTTTTATATTTTAGGCAATAATTAATAGCACCATCACCCCAAACATGACATTTACTAAAACATCTCAGAAGTTTGGCCAGTGGGCTGATAGTCGGGCAAACACTGTTTATGGCCTGGGATTCTCCTCTGAGCATCATCTTTCGAAAGTAAGTTAAATCCTGAGATCTGAGTGGAAATCTTCATCTTCAAGTCAGATGTCTTAAATACATAATAGCAACTGGAGAGTGTGAAATATAGGAGATATTTGTTTAATATTCTCAGAACAGCTGCAGTGACTTTAGAGCAAGAAGTGAGAGATCATTAGATTCCACTGTCAATTGGAAAATTTATTGTACACATTAAAAACAGTCACCATCGATTGAGAAGATTTTGTGTGGTTAACTGCCTGTATGATAGGAAATTACAGGTGGAGAGTATCGCTTCAGAATGGACTTCGCTCAGGGATTAGGACCTTTAGTTGGAGATGGTCTGCGAGATAGATGGACACCAAGCTCTTTTGAGTTTGAACACTCAAGCTAATAGTGATGAAGATTTCAGCTTTTTGACATGATAGCAGGCACATATAAATTACTGTGTTTAGGGAAGGTGGTGCTTTATCTTGGTTAGAGTTACTCTTGAGCTCTCTGATGCAGTAGATTGAGATCTATAGATACTATGAGGAAATCTTGGAAGATACTGACCTAGTGAATTACTGTGGCCAGAAAGGTCAGTGAAATACAGAGCATCACCAGGCTAGATAGTGGAGATAAAACCGTTATCCTGCCCATAAGCAAAAGCACTGCATTGTTCACACCAGCAGCACCTTGAGTTCTGTGGCTGTCATGCAGAACGGGTACCTAAGGATAAGGAAAGATTCTCAGGATAACAAGATGATCAAGGCGATGAGGATTACTCACTTTTCCTCTTTAAATTTTGCACTCACCAGACCCAAAGATTTATGCTTAAAGCTTCTGTGTTTGAAGCATTCGTTAAAGAGGATAACCCTACGTTTGAAACACCTTACCTGTGATTTGGTATACACAGGATCTGATGGCTTGAGAGTTGAAATTGTTTGAGTGCAGGGTAGTTAGGATCTTGTAGATGCATACTGTTCCTATTTGTGTTAAACCATAAGCTGTTTATTATAGAAATCATTCAGATTCTTAAAAATGAGTTCTCTTAAAATATCTTATACTTTTGTGTATATTTATTGACAAAATTATAAGTAGATAGTTCACTAGTTGAAATAATCTTCGTTTCCTTTTGTCTGAGTTGCAATCATTCCATAATACTGTTGTTTTCAAGTGTTTTTGTTATGTTTTTAATATAAATTAGAGTTTAAAGCTCAATTTTAAGACTATTTGAACTTCTGCTTTGATGGTTATAAGTCATTCTCTGTAGAATTATTAAGATGAGTATTATTTGGTTTGGTTTCTCTTAAACCCACCTTAGTTCCTAAATACATTTCTTGAACTGTGGTAAAGGTATGAGTTTTAATTTCAGAGTGTTTCAACTTAACAGAGACACAGGCCCCCGCTTGAGCATTGACCCTCCTTAAACAATCCCCTTAGGAAATAACACGTTGATTCTAATACTTTTGCCATTACTTGGAACCTTTTTGGAATTGTCTATTAAAGCCTATAGGAAAGAAAAATTAAAACTAATTATATTACACTTACTAAATTTCTTGACAACACAGGAACTAAATTGTGGATTATTTCTCAACGAAATTTGCATGAAATTATTTTTGAGTTAAGTAATTTTGACTGTAAATTAAGTTTTTTGCTACGTCTTTCAGATTACTTGGAAGCTGGCTAATGTGGTAAAGGAACAGTTTCTTAAATTCTCCCCATCATACTGTCTCCTCTCATTTGATCTTTTTTCTGGGAATGGCTTTTATATTTCAAGAACTTGATTTTTTTCTCTAAAGTTAGCATATGCTTTTGACCAACCTTACTGGTAGTGAACCCCAGTGTTTTGAGAGTGGATAGATCATTAGGAAACAACCTGTTAGCTCTTGGAGCCACCTGTAGTGTATTTATTCACTAGACTTGGATCCAAGAGCTTACGATCAGTCTCTTCAGAATGTTTTGGTTCAAAGATGACAAAATCATGATTTATTTTCCAAGCTACCTTGAAGATTAATGTTGGCGTTTTTTAGACTGTAGACGACCTAGAGGAGTTTATAATCTTTTACATAAATGAAGCAAGCATGTAAATATTCTGACTTGTTTTATCATTAAAAACCATAAGTGAACCAAAGCTTCATAAGGATTTGGTGAAGGCTCTGAAGAAAATTCTAGACAAGGGTCTCTCAAAATAAGGGATAATAGCAGCATTAGAAGAAATGTGTGGTCTCCCAAGGTTGATGTATGAGGAAAATTCCGACTATGCCTGGATTGTTAGAGTGCTTACTAAGTTGTATTTTGTTATCATGGAAACATAATCCTATAAAAATTAGCAGTAGTGTAGGTCTTTATGAAGTTGAGAAGGATTTTAAACATTAACTACTTTGGAATGCTAAATTAGTGTTAGAAAAACTTTGTGTACTACTTCAAATTACATAAGGATAAATTAATTATGGTTTTGTTTTTATTTCATTTCCACCCATGTGAGTGAGACCTTTTTAGCTTTGTATTCAGGTTTTTTTTTTTACAGCAAAGAGATACTCTGTTCAATTAGAGAAGTGTACTAATACAGATTCCTTGATCTACAAGTTGTAGGTGGGGGTGGCAATGTTTAAGGTAAGAAGGAAAGTTGTAATAGTGACAACTTTGGTTTTGACCCTCCTGCATCTCCCAAGGCAGGTCAGGATATCATGAGCCTTTCCTTCCAAAGATTTCTTCCCCAGGATGCAAATGAAATCAGGCTTATGGGGCTTGAGGAAGGAACTGTAATTTCAGAGTTTTATTTTCAACTCTAACAGGTGTTTTTAAGTTGCAAAGAGGTTTTAAATTTGATTATTTTGTAACTCTTAACTTATTCTCTCTGAGAATAGTAGTAGACTAGCTTCCACTTCCAAAACATAGATAGACACTGTTTGTGGCCACGATGTTTTAGATTCCTATGGGTTCCTAAGAATTAGCATTTCATGTACAATGCTTTTTTTTAATTGTTACCAATCTTAAAGACCTTTTTGTAGTTATATTTCTTTCTGCTGCTGTACATTAGCTGTTTAGAAATCTTTGGAAATGAAGTTTTTTAGTAATGTCAGTTAGTGATATAGTAAATGTTACTATTTGCATTGTTGAAAATAAAATGCCGTACATAATACAAGAGTTTATACCCTAGTAAAAGTTAAAAACACACCCCAAATACTAAGATGTTTAGGAGTGGATACTTAAGAGATTCCGTTTTCTCTGTGATAAACATAGTATGCCCTTCTTTACTGATTCCTCTCCCAACTTGTACCCCCCACCTTGGTCTTAGTAAAGTATATCTGAACAACCAAGGAGGGACATAGGTAAGCCAGCAGACACCAAATTCTAACTTAGTTATTTCATGATGTTTTTGAATGAGACTTGTCAGAGTGCTTTACAGCGTACAGACAAATGTTTGGTATTAGGTTTCTTTTTCCGTGATTTTCATATTACACTTGTAATTGATTTGAGGTCTAGGTTGCTTTTGTAAGAGTCATTTATCCAGAAAATGAAAGAAAACTAAGGTAAAAGTGGTCATTGAGATCTGTTTTTATTTGGTTAACGCATATAGTCTTTATACATTCAGTTTGCAGAAAAGTTTCAGGAATTTAAGGAAGCTGCTCGACTCGCAAAAGAGAAATCACAAGAAAAGATGGAACTTACCAGTACCCCTTCACAGGTGGGTATTTAATTTCTATTTTTATTTATGACCCTTGTTCATGTTAGATGGTATCCTTAATGCCAGAGTTAAATTTGGGAAAATAATGGCAAAATTAAGGTAATTTCCAAAGTGGACATAGAAACACGCCCTTCAGTTAATCTGTACTAGTGGAGAAAGGTTTTTTTTTTTTTCTGTATGCCAGTGTCTATAAGAATCTCAGGAGAAAAAAATACCAGTTTAGTAATTAAAACTCAGATTCTTTACTCTGCGTGCAACTGAAAAATGACCATGCACAAAGAGCATAGATTGGCCTACTGCTGTGGTCTGTGGTCTGTGGTCTGTGATGGTCAGTCGGGTACAGCCACAAGAAGAGACACAGAAAAGGCTCAGGAAAGCACAAGCTTATTATACTCATAGGGCCCAAAACCAAGAGGCACGGCACACCTCTGGGGGGCACGGGGGGAAACCTCGGGGTGGTCGGGCCAGAAGGCAGGAGCATAGGGAAAGCTGAGGCTAGAGCCAGTATGGGGGTTTCCTTGGGAATGGCAGAGCGGGGTAAACAGCTTAGGACTGGCTAGTTTGAACAATTTTGGTGGGCTCTAAACTATAGAGGTGGTCTCTAGTTGCCTGGTACCTGGCCCTGGGATGATTAAGGCAGAGGAATATGGTCTCCACGCTCAGGCCAGATAGAGGAGATCTCGCTCTCGATTGGTTAGTGTCATATCAGAGGCATACTCCCACCTTAGCCCTTGCCACCTCTAAGAATTGACTAGCCAGAAAGGCTTTTTAAGATGTCAGAACATCATAATATATAGAAAATAAAAAAAAATTAACAATACGGTTTGTTCTCCTTGATTTTAAAGTGTGCTTAAATCTGACAGTTGGGACATCTTACTTTATGCTCAGCACTGAGACCCAAAGGTTATAGGTTTTATGCAAATGTCAATTTTTCCTTTAACAAATGAGTAAATACCTATTTGTCCATCATAATCTTTCTTCAGTTGGAAATTAATTATATCTCCAAGTAAAGTTCATTAAATAGTTACATTTCAGTACTTTTACAGAGGTTTTAATGTATGTATTATGATTCATGTAGAATGCCAATTATTTTCAGCTTTTCAATAACAGGCTCTTCTGAAATTTATTTCAATTGTCATCTTAAGAATGGGGTTCAGCTTTGTGCTGGGTTCTTCTCTATAGTAATTGTTTTCGAAGTGTAATCAGGAGCTTTTATGAAAAGGAGAGATCAAATGTTACAAAGGTTTCTCTGGAATAGTGTCAATAGTAGCAGATTTGCATAAAACTTTTTTGAGGAAATAAGTAGGAATTGCCTTGAATTTAGTGACTAGCCAAATGATTGGAACATTTTAGAAAATTTTTTGCTCTTTACCTTCCTCTCTACCCCTGGCACCCAACTCTATTTGGTAAACCCTACCTTTAGAAAGAGTTATGTTTTATTTTGTTTTACAGGAAAGGAGAGCTCTGTTAGTTATGCTTAAAGTACGTTTTTCCCCATAGACTAAAGGTGTGCTCTGGATTGAAGCCAACACTCCATTCCACCTCCTGTGTCGCTTGCAGTGACCTGGAATAACGTAATCATTTTGAAACTTTCCTTGAATCTGTCTTCCATAAGTGCTATCATAGTGTAGTGCTACTCTTAAGCATAAAAGCCTATTTATAATTTCGTACCAGTACATGTTAGGAGTTCCAATTCCTCAGGTGAATGATTCTAGTGTTACAAGAGTATGCTACAGCATATTCAGTAAGCGAATACTCAGAGGACTCCAATAAAACTGTAATGGGTTACACTTTGCCATTATACTTAGTTGCTTTTTCTCTAATTGTAACTTGTTTTTGTTTAATTGGCCATGAACTATTACAATGCTGCTGAAATACATGCTCCTCTTTGGTGAAGGGAATGTCTTTAAGTCTTTACTTTCATCAAAGGAATATATCCAAGATGTTTTTAGTTGGAAAATGCTGTGAAATGTAAGGTTATAATAAAGAAATGTCTTAACTTCATCAGTATTTGAGAGTCAGAATATACTGACCTTAATTTATCTTTTCAGAACATTTAAAGTGTGACTATTAATTTAATGTACAGCAGCCAGAGAAATAGTACCAAAAAAAATATTTCCCTTCATTTCTCTTTCCTCCCTTTCCCGTTTTTGTGGCAGTGCCTTACAGATATCTTTAATATTTCTGATTTAGCTTGAAATGCATGACTCCTGTAACCACTCCGATGCCACGCAGCTAGAGAGCAGAGCTTGATTCTCACTGGTTTAACCCATTCTGGTAAATTAACGCTCTGCCTGAAGAATAGAATATTACTCAGGAAGTCAGCAAAGAGGATCAGGAGGTTAAATGGGATAATCGATAATAGCAGACACTCTGTTGGTCATAGCTTTTGTTTTTAGCTGAGGAGGTATTACAAACTGTTAAGAGTATGGGCTTTTCACCACGTGATTTCACTCCTGTGGAAGATAAGCAAATACATGGACAAAGAAAACAGATTAGTGGTTACCAGAGGAGAAGGGGGTTGGGGGTGGGCATAAGGGGTAAAGGGGCACATTTATATGGTGACGGACAAATAATAATGTACAACTGAAATTTCACAATGTTATAAACTGTTATGACCTGAATAAAATTTTTTTAAAAAAATTAGGAATAAGTTTAGAAAAATATCTGCAATACCTGTATATTGAAAACTACAGAACTTTGTTGAGAGAAATTAAAGAAGCCCTAAATAAATGGAGAGATATATAAAAAAAAAGAGTATGGGTTTTCAAGTCAGACAAACTTAGACATAAGTCCTTTTTCTGTTACTGTGTGATCTTGGGAAAATTGCTTAACCCAAATCTGTCTATACATCTGTCACAGGAGCATTATATTACTTACCTCATAGGACTGTTGGAGGAGTAAGTATGATAATGGTAATGTCATTATTAACGTGACATTATGACAATGTCATATGCTAATGCTTATGATGTAGGTCTGGAGCCTGCCTTTGAATCTCGGCCACGGCCACGAGAATAGAGAGAAGGGAATAGACATAACAATGGTGAAATGGACTGAACTTGGAGGAAATGCAGAAAGTGAGGGAATAGTGAGGGTGAGAGAGGGTAGTAAAGGAGGAGTTAGATGTTTTTGAAACTTCTGTTCTTGGCTTGTAGCACGGACTTCAGAAGAGGATTTCCACTTCAGATATTGAATTTGTATCCTAATGGTACATCCAGGTGGACGTGTCCTGTGGGTACTTAGGAATTTGGAATTGGAGCTAAGCCTCAAGAGCCATCAACAAATGAGTAGTTGTTAAAGCTGTAGGTGAGAAAGATATCATCCAGAAGGAAAATAGAATGGAAAGAGAGGAGAGACAAGGGTCAAAAATTTGCACTTAAAGATTGTCGCTTGAGAAATTTGAGGGAGATATGGGGAAGACAATGAGAGGAGGTAGGAAATGAACGAGCAGAGAAGGTTAGCTCAGAAGAGAAGAGCATTTCAAGTTGGAGACAATGATTTGGCCGTGTCAGAGACAGAGTTCCAAAGGGATGGGTGTTAAGAGGACTTTGAACCTAACAAACCGGAGTTCACTGGTAATTATAGGTGGATTCTTGGTGAAGGAAGGGCAATGTGAAGAGTTTTTGACTTTAGGCTGCCTTGAGACCAAAATGTTTGGTAGTGAGAATAAGGTAACAATATTTGTTTCTCCTGTGTGAGGAGAAAAAGAGTTAGCATGATAATCTCAGGAGGATGTGGAGCTAAGAATTTTTCTTTTCTAGAATGTATGTGTGTGGGTGACTTGAACATGTTTCTAAATGTAAGGAAGGAGTCAGTGAAGGAAAGAGAAGACTAGAAGGGGAGCATTGTACAGAAGGTGATATTATGAGGGGGGAAGATGGAAACAAATTAGCCACTTATTCATCTGAGACAGGAGGAAAGGATAAAAATGGATTCAGATACAGATAGAGAGATTGAGGAAGTGTATGCCAGTTTATTTCAATTTTCTCTGTGAAGGAAGAGTTAGGTGTTCACTGGAGGAAGGACAACCGGAGAGAGAGGGCTTGAACAGAGGTCTGGAGCAGCTGCTAGGCAAAGAAAAAAAGAGTCAGATGGGGGTAAGTAAAATAAAGATTACTGGGTACTTCAAGAACATAATTGAAGTCAGAGCCCAACATTATTTTCATGACACTAATCAGCATATTTAATGATATTTTCTCCCATAGTACTTGGTAGCTTGGGCACGTAAGAATAGAGAATGATGGTTTGGTTGATACACAATTGGAAATTGGTAAGATGGGGTTTGTGGAAGGTCAGGAAGCCCCCAGATTGGGATGATGCTAGAGAGAATATAATTAAGGTGATTGGCTTTCTGGTGTAGGCTGAGCATGGAGAGAAATAAAGCCAGGTTGAGCCTGACAAAATAGCATAGTAGCAGAGGGCCCAGAGATTGTAAATATTGATGAAGTTGAAGAGCAGGTAGAAGGAGAGAGGGATAGGTTGGGAGGATAGGAGGTTGTACAGCGCAAGCCCCCTTATTGTTGGAGGCAAAACTAGTAGCTGAAGAGTTAATCCAAAAAGTCAGGTAATGTAAAGAATTTTTTGAAAAAAGATTCTTTTCAATTTATAAATTAAAATTCAATGATACTATGTTTCATTTATTCACCAATATTTTGATTTAAAGCTGATGCCTTTTCTTTGAATTTGAATCTTTTGATTGGAATTCCATGTTATCTTTCTTACATAAGTCATACCAATAATTACTTGTCTGCAATTTCCTGGGTTTTTTTCCTTTAAGTAGAGCTAACCCTTGACATCCCACCCTCCTTCTGTATCACGTACACCTGAGAGTGGGTTGGTGCTCGCACCCTGAAGGCCCGGCCTGGAGCGAGGGCCAAGGTCATTTCTTTTTCATATGATTCAGAATATTTCTGGTTTTTTTTTTTGCTTTCTTGCCACTTCATAAATGAGTAGAGAGAGAGAATTCTTAAGAAGCACTTCCTGAATCCTACATCTGTGCTCAGGCTCCTTTTTTATAATATTGTCACATGTTAGTTTTGGCTTCCTTGATACATTCTCAGATTTTAATATGCAAAAAAATTTTTTTTTCAATTTGACTGTCATTTTTCCTTTTAAAATTATTTTTTGGTGTGGGGCGAGTTTCCCAGAAAGGAAGTGAGATGTGAGTGGTTTTATTTTCTAAGAATAATGATGTAAACGTGATGGAAGTTCATGAAATCTCAATTTTTATTTATATTTTGTTTTTCACTTTTCTTATCAATATTGTTATACATATCTACAGACACATATACACACACACGTATCAAAGAAGGTACTACTTGATTTTTTTTCCTTAAGCATTTACTATAGAAATGGCTAGCCATATTAGCTTAGGAATCTTTTTCTAAAGAGAAATTGTCCTTCTTGTTCAAAAGTTTGTAGTCTGTTAGATATACCTCCATGCTTTTTGTTTTAATGTTTGATTTAAAGATATAAATTATTGGTTTTATATGAGGTGGTTTTTCTTTTTAGGAATAGCTAAAGTTGAATGTTTAGAAAATAACACAAAATGTATGCCCTTTCAGGTTAACAGGGTAATTTGTTTCTGTTATCATTTCCACTGGATCGGGTCGTGGCCAGCTTACTGTTTAGCTGATTGGACAGTCAACCGTGATTATTTTAGTTTATTTTGATCTTTCTTGGAGAATAATAGTGCTGATTTATTGGAACCACAGATGATAACTTCCTGGTTTCTTACTGGCTGCTTAAACTTTTTCTGGCTAATTGATAAGGCCCATAGTTGACCTAGAAGTAGTCACTTTGAATACTGTTCCCATTATTCACTTAGTAGGATTTGACTTTGTTGTAAAACTGGGTTTTTTTCTTTTTCTTTTGTGAGGAAGATTGTTGCTGAGCTAACATCTGCACCTATCTTCTTCTGTTTTATGTGGGATGCTGCCACAGTGTGGCTTGATGAGCCATGCGATGTCCACACCTGGGATCCAAACCTGCAAACCCTGGGCCACCAAAGTGCAGTGCACAAACTTAACCACTGTGCCACCGGGCCAGCCCCTAAAACAATCTTATGTTGTCACATTATACTATAACTGTATTCATGCATTGACTGTCAGTTAATAGAAACAAAGAGGATTTAGGAGAAAGATTTTAAAAGAATGAAGTTAAAGGTCACATACAGGTTCCATTAATAATTGAAAAATAGTTAAGTGATAATGTGCCATCCAGAAAGTAGCCTTTTGATCTTTGATAGCTTGTATAATTTATAGCATTATAGTCTATTAGTTAAAATATTTAAATGTCAAATAAAATACATGCAGCTATGTAAAACCAGAAGCCCCAAAAAGAAAGTTAGTCTCACTATGTTATTTTCCACATTTCTTTATGTGCAGTATTTTTTATGTAAATTATATAAATTATCATAATCTACATATCTCCTTATGTACTCTTTTTCCCTAACTATAAGCATTTTCCTGTATTACACATATTCATCTTGTTTTCTATTTGAGGAAATCTTGTATTCTTTTTTTTTTTTTTGGTGAGGAAGATTCTGAGCTAACATCTGTTGCCAGTCTTCCACTTTTTTTTTTTCCACTTGAGGAAGATTAGCCTTGAGCCAGTCTTTGTCTATTTTGTGTGTGCGATGCCTCCACAGCATGGCCAATGAGTGGAGCAGGTCTGTACCTGGGAGCCAAACCCACAAACCACGGGCCATCAAAGCAGAGCACGTGGAGCTTTTAACCACAAGGCTGTGGGGCTGGCCCCCGTGTATTCCTTTAAGTTGACAAATAATGACCATACCTAACCACTCCCATGTTGGACACTGATGTTTTCATTTTCTTCCCTCACATAGCCTAATACTTCAGTTGTGAAGTTCTGTTGCCCAGAGATCACAAGGAGTCCCCCAAGCTGCTCTGTAGCAGGCTGGTGCTGGATCTCCCTGGCTAACAGGTTTATCGAATGACTCCTCATTCTGGTTTCTATAGCAAATTTAGATAATTTGATGATGGCAGTCGCAAGAATAAGTGTCAGGTTGGGCTTCATTTTCAGTTTCATTTATTTTCCAGAGGGATAAATTAAATTTACCTTGATAGAAGTAAGACCAGAAATTTTGTGAAGAAAAATAATTTTATTATGAGTAGCAGGTGAGAAAAGCTGAAATATACTAACGTCATTATGTATAATATGTTATGGAGGTATTTCTGGCTGCTTTGCAAATAACTCCAGGAAGTGAAAAATAGAGCAGATTAAAAAAATTAAGACTTGTTGAAGATTTCATTCTCCCCTTTGCCCTCCCAGCCTCCCAAACAGAATCACATCTTGCATTTTTATGCCATCTTTTTCTTCTCAAGTGATTCTTTGAATATCTTTTATTCTAACGAATTAATTGCTTATCTAAACCCAAAAGTTTTTCAGCTCTTTGAAACTACGTTTCTAAATTGTGTTATGTTTACATTTCTTTTTCTTTTCTTTTTTTTTTTTTTTTTAGGAATATTGGCCCTGAGCTAACATCTGTTGCCAATCTTCCTCTCTTTTTTGTTTTTCTCCTCTCCCCAAAGCCCCAGACATAGTTATATATCCTAGTTGTAGGTCCTTCTAGTTCTTCTCTGTGGGACCCCACCTTAGCATGGCTTGATGAGCAGTATGTAGGTCTGTGCCCAGGATGTGAACTGGCAAACCCCTGGGCTGCCAAAGTGGAGCGCATGAACTTAACTGCTATGCCACGGGGCCGGCCCCTATGTTTACATTTCTAAATTGTATTGTTTCAGTTAGTTTTCTTATGAGTTGCTTTGCTTTAAAAAATTTTCTCCTTCAAACTTCATTTTTTAAGTCTTTGACTCAAATTTCAGTTGGAATATAACCATAGTTCAAAAGTCAACATACATCAGAGTCAGTTTTAACTTTAAGGTGATCTTGTGTGTTTTAACAGGAGTATAACACTTTTTTTTTTTTTTATCTCCACCCCACTTTGTTTCTTAGGAATCAGCAGGTGGGGATCTTCAGTCACCTTTAACACCAGAAAGTATCAATGGGACGGATGATGAAAGAACACCTGATGTGACACAGAACTCAGAGCCAAGGGCTGAACCAACTCAGAATGCGTTGCCATTTTCACATAGGTACAGATTCAATTCAACCATCATGATTAAGTAAGATGTCTAAATGTGGAAACTTATTTGCTTTCAGATAAATCTTGTAATGTTACAACTCTGAGTGAAAATTCTAGGTCAGACTTTTTTTGTAACTGTTTCTGTTAACCTCAGAAAAATTTTAGTAATTTATAGTTGATAGTTGCCTAGATGGACAGGAGTGAACATTTCCTTTATCTGTAGAAAAAGGGCTATTGAGCTAATTAAAGGACAAATCATTTTTTAGTGAAACAATATATTATTGTAAATCTCTTCTATTTATTTTTTAACACAGGCCCTAAAAGTCCCCCTTTGCTAACCTGGTTTCCATTTTCATGTATGTTCTTGAGGGTTATAAATTTTTTTAAAAAAATAGATTTCCTGTTCTGAAATTGAGCTTTCCCATACTCTTAGAGGTGATCTCACCTTAAGATTTCACAGAAGGAAACACGTTATTGGGGTAACTCGTAGCAAGAACCTATTAATGTTATTGTCAGATTTATTTTTGCACACCAGCTAACAGGAGATAAATCTTCACATGCTTCTGAATTTTAAAAGAATTTGATAGCTTAAAAAGATATAATTTATCCTTAAATGTGTTCCAACCAGTTGCATTAATTATTGGCTGTGATATTTTTAGGATGTAAAGAGGTCTATGAAATTGCAGTATTGCAAATGTAAGCAAATACCTATCAGTCGCTATCTTAAGTTTTAGCCTTCTTTGGAAACTTTTGACTAGGTGGTTTTAATTAAAATCAAGAAAACAGTTTTTGTTTGTGCTTCTCTTTTTGGCACCAATTTTTTAAAAAATCAAATTCTTCAGTATATTCAGAAGAATTGTGAAGTGAGATATTGTAAGCTCTTTTTCATGAGAATTTTAATTTTGATTGTGTTGGTTGGATGTTAGGGGCACAGGATTAAACATACTAGAGACTGATTCTGAGGGACCTGATGGTGAGGCTGAGGAAGAAGAAGTTAGTTGAGGTTTATTAGGCATGCATGAGGGAAAACTATTTGCCTGTGAGGCTGTTCTAATTTGTTCCTAAAAGTGCTAATAATTTTGTGTAAAGTAGTAGACGTATTTGGAATTATCATGGAGATCAGGCTTTAACTATTGCTGTACAAGCATATTCTCGTTTCTATAGTTATAAAAATGACTGGCACGTGAAAATTTTAGTTCCTCTGATCTGAAGACTATATGTTCACATTGATTTGTAAAACATACACGTTTCTCAGCTATACAATTACAATTAAAGAGCAATGTGGTTACTATGCAGTTTTTAAAAATGTTATTCATGTTGAGGGAAGAAAAAAATTCCTTCCTATTAAATTATATTTAACATATCCATTTGATAGTCTTAACTGCACCAAACATAATCATAAACTTGATTTCTTTGGTTAACGCTGAAGTGAGCTGTGTCGTTGAATACTGCAGCATTTAGAAATGAGAACTTTTGGGGACCAGCCCCGTGGCCGAGTGGTTAAGTTTGCACGTTCCGCTTCAGCAGCCCAGGGTTTCATTGGTTCAAATCCTGGCCACAGACATGGCACCCCTCGTCAGGCCATGCTGAGGTGGCGTCTCACATAGCAGAACCAGAGGCACTCACAACTAGAATATACAGCTGTGTATTGGGGGGCTTTGGGGAGAAGAAGAAGAAAAATAAATAAATAAATTGGCAACAGTTGTTAGCTCAGGTGCCAATCTTTAAAAAAGAAAAAAAAAGAAAGAAGAACTTTTTTATTTAACATTTGTAGAAGCTATTTCTAGTTTACTTTATGCATCTAAAATTTTCTGAATGTTTATTGTTTTGCTAAACCTTAGTATCTAGAGTTACTAACTGGGATTGGTCATCTCCCTTGATTTTTTTCAGTTCTTGGGAGTCTAATAGGAGTTACTTACTTTGGTTTGAAGGTATTGCTTCTTTGACTACTGGTCAAAATCTAAATATAAAATGTAATCTAAATCTATAGGTTAGCCATAGAGATATTTGAGTTCTGAAAATAAAACTGAATAGATCAATTTAAGGTTTTAATTATGTTAAATGCATTACATAGTTGTATAGCATTCTTATTTTAAAAATACCAGAGCTACGGGGTTTCAGGAGACTTATTCTCTGAACTTGTTTTGATTTTACGTTAATCAATATTAATCACTATTCACCTGGTAACAACTGAAATCGACTTCTACCTAAGATAGAAGATTAAGTATTTTACAGCTAATGTTAGAATCCAAAAATATCAGGGTTAGAAGAGACCTCAAAGATGGTGTAATCCAGAATTTGCCAAACTGTAGTAGTTTGAAATCAGCTTAGGTTATTCATGTCATTCTGAAAAATGAAATGTAATAAAACCAAATAGGAAACATGAAAGCAAAACTCACATTAAGAGTAGAAAGTTCTTTTCAGTAATATCTGTATTTATGTGTGTGTATCCATATTATGGTGTAAAATGGCAGAGTTTGAAAGCATATGCCTTTGGCACATGGGGATACTAAATCCCAGAGGTTAGGTGAGTTGTCCTAGGTCACATATGCGATTCATTCCTAACAACTTGGGAACTAGAACTCAGCTCTTTTGACCCTAGTATGTTCTGCCATTTAGATAACAATGCATTTTAGTCAAATCCCCAACACGAGCATGTTATCGTGTTAGGAAGTTAATGACTGTTCCTATCCTAGGAGACCTATGTAGAAATAAGATCAGTGTCTCATGCGTTAGAAACAGAGAGAGTGTTAAAATAATCTTTATTTAAGTCTGGAACTCACAAGTATTTAAACTTGATGTGCTATTATTTTTTCATGGCAAAGGAAGACAGCTAAAATCTGTTTTTAAAGGCTTATTTAGACTATTATTTTGTCTTTCTTCCTTAGTACTTATTTCAACAGAAAAGAATAAATAGCAAAAAAATATTTTGCCAAATTTCTCTATTCTGGTTGATACCATTTTACTGCTAAATAAGGAGCAAAAATCACTAGAATGTGTATGTGTTTAAAAAAAAAAAGATGGAAGGATACAGAACAGTGACCTAGTCAGTCAAGTTAATTAAGAGTTGATTGTAGTAATAGCTACTTAGCAAGCCAATTTGTGCTCTTCTTAAAATTCACATTTTATGCCTAAATCTCATGAATTCATTAATCAACATACCAAAAGAAGGCCCTGATTTTCATTTGGTCCCGAAAATTTTAGTAATGTGTGTTTGTTCTTTACTCTAAGTTTTGTTTATTTTTAAAAAGTATTACTTAACTTTAAAGAGAAGCAAGATTTTTTTGTTAGTCTCTAAACTTCTACAAATTTCCAGATATATATGGGAAGGGAATACTCTAATGAACTCCCATGAACATGTGACCAGCTTCAACAGTTATGAAAAGTGGCCAATCTTGTTTCATTTTTACCCACTCTTCCACTTTTGTATAATTTTTAAAGCAAATCCCAGGCATCAAAATGTCATCCACAAATAGTTTTTTAAAATTACTTTTGAACTTTTTAAAACCTGTCTACTAAACTAGTACAACTTTTTATATTTAATTCAGTGGCATTATAGAGTTAACTTGAATTACTTACTCTTTTCTTTGACTTTTAATTAATACTGCTGAACTAAATTTTAAAATATATGGGCTGCTCAATACTCCTTAATCAAGGGCTATAGTACCGTTTTATGTCCTTGACATAAACTACGCAAAAACATTCTCATTGAATAGTTTCAATAAATTGATACTTTTTTAGTGTATTTATTTAAATGCTTTTAAAAGTTTAGGCATGTGTAAAATAGGGAGGAAATGTTTACTAATTTCTTTGGGGAAATTTATTAAATTTTATTAAAATTGCTATTTTATCTTAAAAAATTATTTTTTAAGCTAAATGATAATATCCTTTTGGGACTGAGCAGGTGTACACTCTGACCCACTGAAGTGTTCAGGTTATCCTTTGAGCCCATAGTGTTAGATTAGCTATACGCTGAGTAAAGTAGCTATGTACTAATACACTAGCTTATACATATGGGGGAAGGTTTTGTCCTGTCATTCCAAGGAGGAATTGTTTGCTTCATAGCATCAGCTATATGGAATTCTGGGATTTACTTGTTATTTCTTAATAAATTCTAGGATTTTTTTTAAGATTTAAAACTATTAAAATTCTATTGGAAATAGTTAATTTTATAGTACTCTGGTGCTGTAAGAATGTAAGACTGAAATATAATACTGAAAACTAAATCTTGTGTTCATTGTAAATTTATGATCCTTAGATAACAGTAAATATATTGATAAATAACTGCTGTTATCATATTTTTGAGAGTTCAGGACATATATATACATTAGTAGTTCATGAAGCTATTTTTATACCAATAAATTTTAATAGTTTGATTATCTTAACGGAATATAGGCTCTTTTGAGCACTGATTATATTTAAATTCTTCTAATGTTAGGTAATGTATTCTCATGGTGCTGCTAGAATTTATGCATTTTGGGGGTACTGCATGTATCTTCTGTACTGTTAAAGCGATGTTTCTGCCACTTCATGTGTTTCCAACAGATCTTCATTAAAGGATGTATGCAGAAATGTTACTCTTTAGTATACTGATTTTGCTTTAAATCACTGTAACTACAATTTTACCAAAATTTATGAAATCTAGGTGGCTTCATTCCATTTGTATTTTGTAGATTAACTTCTTCATTAGCAGAGTTTCAGAAAGCTACTACTTTAAAACTGAGTAGAGATTTTTGTACAATCTCAAAAATTAAATTTCATTGGTAATTTCATACACCGTTTTACTTACATGTTAAAATGCAAAAAACGAAAAGTTTTATCTTGAATCAAATACAGTTTGTACTTCAAAGATGATACAAACAGGAAAAAAGTGAATGACTCTTAAGAGCTCTGCATACTACACTGTCCACAGCTGTGCCATCTGTCTCCCTTTTTTATAGATGGTAAGCAAAACTTGTGAGATTATAATTATGAACCAAAATAGAAATAATTTCTGTGGATAACTGTTGTTTGGATAAAACTGTGTGTATAACGCTGGGA